CCGGTTTGTCGGATTCCAGTTTGTATGACGAGAGGCTTTCTGGAAAATTCGAGTAGCTCGACAAGCCGTCATCCGTTTCAGATTTCATTGAAAACTGTTTAACAATAGATTTAAAATTATCATCAATTCTCGTTAAAATTGTATCCTTATCAGCATGATTCGGGCAGTCTTTCACACTACATCTCTTCAAGTGTTGTGTCTCCTCATTGTCGGTTTTCATCGGCAAAGCGTAACCAAGTTTCTTTGCACGATGGGTCGTAACCGTGGTGTCCAGTGTGTTCAACAACACACTGGTACACAGCCCGTTTCGTGTTACGGAAAAGCTCTGGCCTAAAATCATCGAGTTTTGACTATATGGGTCGGGTACCAAAACAAACCTGTTTACTATCACTTAACGAATTTAAATTTCTCATTCTAAAAATTGCTATTACAGCTTGACTCGGCTGTAGTTTTACCTTTCTATCTAAAAAGATTGGTACATTGTTTTCATCTGTTATTATTCATTTAATTGGTTTCTTAACATAATTCCAGTGCGGGTTTCTAATCCCTATTAGACCGTTGTTCAAGCCAATCATCACATCGAAGCTCCAGACAAAATCACGGCCCAGGATGAATTGGTCTGAGTCGTCTAAATTCTCAACCACCAGGAAGCGCATCGAAAGATTGCGTCCTCCCATGTGAAGGACCGTTATTGGTGTCCTTCCGGCCACGTAAATTGCTCCGCGGTTGGCGGCCGCCAATATGAGGTTCGTTGTAATTAGATCTTCCCTCGTGAAGCCCATTCCTTCCCATGTTTTTATTGGCATCACGCTTACCACTGCTCCTGTATCCAGTAGTCCTGTTACTCCAATTTTCTTCCCATTGGTATCTAGCAGATGTGCAGTCACATCTGCCTTCTACCCTATGTGTACTGCATCTTGCTCCATCATGGCATCATGGCCAATTCTGCAGACCTTAAGTTCTTCTTGTCCCAAATAGATCTGCCCCATTTGGTCGCTATCTGTTTTGACGTAGGGCCTAGTGTAGATACTTATCCCGCCAACGTTCAACATCACTTGAAAAAGTCCATAGACTTTCACGTAGCGCCGGTGAAGTTTCTTCGTTCGAGGCCACCCGTTGTCAACAACGCTCGTACAGCCCTCGATTCAGTGCGTCGCTCTACCTGTCTCAGATAATCTGCATATGTGTCTAAATGCAGATTTATCGGGGGGTTTTTGATATAGCTGTAAGCGAGGTATCAAGTGTTTTTGAATACTTAGATTTAATTGTACCAAAATTCGTTGAAGGATAAAAAAGCTGGGTTCCGTCTGTAACCATGCTTTGCTAGCAATTTTTACTCAGCGGCCGGCCAATTGTCTGGCAAAGCAGTCAGTGCACCTCCCGATTCATCTCCCTTATTGCAAAACATTTGCATTCTTTTCATGGGGTCTTTTCCGTTATGCAGCCCAGAAATATCAAATCTTTGAATGAGTTAGTATGCTTGAATTTAGGCTTCAGGTTTCTTCACTTTTGTTTTTTTATTCATCCAATCAAAATCAAGCTTTTTATCATCAAATTTTCCAAATATGAAAACGATGAATTTTGGGCCGTATAATTTTGTTCAGTCTTCTTTTTGAGAGGCACTGTGAGACAATCTTATGTTAAAAATTAAAAATTTGTTTGAAATAAAAGTAAGTTCTGTTAAACTCGCAGTGTTTTGATTTTGCTTATTTGTTTGCCATCCCGAAATGTAAGAAGACTGCTCGTATCAAGGCGAAGCCCTGAATGTTCCGACTGCTTTTTAAGGTTTATGGAGCAGTAATAACATAAAAAAAATTGAATGTAATAAGACAAATGAAATTTTTTCTTCCAAAATTTGAATTTTTTTTCTGAAAATCATCCCCCCACGCGCCATATAAAGTACAAAAAAAAAACAGATTTCGCTGCTAGTAACAATCAATTATGGCAAATAAGCTTCTTTCAACCAATTTGGAACGATTTTTAGAACGGATTAAATCTCCGCTTACGCGTTAAAAACGCGAACTATATCGCGCGTTAATTGGGTGCGTACCCACGGAGCCGCATTCCCGGATAGCCGAAAAAAAAATACCTCCGGTTTTAATTAAATTAAATCAGAAAACACTTGAGACGCATTTTGCTTGGACAAAAAATGCTCAAATTTTTAAGAGATTGGATTGGCTAATTTTTTTTACTCTCATTTAATTAATTAACAACAAAAGTCTGACTACCACAGGGATTCGACACCCCTCACCAACCAAAGGGTCCTTTTTTGGTAAGTTTTATTATATCCATTTTCGGCCGACAAACACTAAGTTTTTTAGTACATGCTAACTTTTTCATTTTATTTTATTTCATTTCATTTTTTATGCTATTACTGCGGCTCCATAAACCTTAAAAGGCAGTCGGAACATTCAGGGCTTCGCCCTGATACGAGCAGTCTTGTTCAGTGTTTGCTGCTTATTGAAACTGTTCTATTTTCGAGCCTAATAAAGTTTGGTTGAAAAATCGTGAGATGAAGGTTCTAATTAGGGAAGCTCGACCTAACAATAAGCGTTTTTCACACCTGTCAATCAATCAGACGTTCGTTAATTTACACCGGTCTTAATACAACGTAGTTTAGTTTTTCATGCTAACAGATTAACCTGCAAATCCAACAACCCCGCCCAAGCCAATTCGTACCAAGTTAAATGTAAATAATGATGATCGAATCCATGTTATGAATCCAATTATTCCACTTTTCTAGTTCCGAGCAAGTTTTCAAATCTCAATTACTTTTGATTTATCTTAAATTGACTTAACTGACATTATCAGATTAATATTATTATTATTATTATTATTATTGTTCCGACTTTCGATACGAAAGTAACGGAATATTTGTGCTCGGGGTGTGTTTTTTTTTTCTTCAGACAAATTTTGGCTTTTTAACTAGCCATTTTTGACGGAAATTGTTTTATATCATTCAAAAGACATTGTTGTCCTGAGCTTAAATTTGAAAAAATATTTCACCTGTGATTTTTTTTTTCGTAAAGTTATGAGGGTTTAAAGATTGCCATTTTGGCCATTTTGACCAATTTGGGACAATTAACGCGCGATATAATTCGCGATATTAATGCATGAGCGGAGATTTAATCCGTCTTATAAATTGTTCCAAATTGGTTGAACGAAATTTATTTGCCATAATTGGTTTGTTACAAGGAACGAAATCTTTATATGGCGTGTGGGGGTATGGTTTTCATAAAAAATTTCAAATTTTAGAAAAAAAATATTCATTTTTTTTTATTTCATTTAATTGTTTAATGTTTTTACTGCTGCTCCATAAACTTTCAAAGGCAGTCGGAACATTCAGGGCTTCGCCCTGATACGCGCTTTGCCCTGATACGAGTAGTCTTGTTATATGTATCGAAATCTTTTTAATGTTTCTTTTGCGTTTTTCAAAGAAAGTGACGACGGAATAATTGTATTCCGTGTGATTTTTTCTCTAGGCAATTTTCATCTTTTTATCTAACCATTTTTTGTTGACGTTTTTGATATTATCCGAAAAAAAACAAACACTTTAGATCGAATTTTTTGATACGATCATTTTAACAAGCTAGATAGTTATCGCTCTGAGACGTCGTATTTCAGTTTTACAGTCTAGCAAGTATTTTTTTCTCTCGAGTCGGTCATTACGAGGCCAAACTGTGCACTGGATAGGCGCACAATTTTATGTCTGTATGTTCCTGGATTCCAGAGACAAGACTTTAAATATGTTCCAAAATGTAAGCGGATTCCACAAACAAAATTTCAGTGGATTCCGCGTACAAATACCTGTAAGGTAAACTTTGTCGGCACATTTGTTTTGTTGCGTAATCCGCAACAAGCAAAATAGCTAGTTGTTCTGGATTCTCTAAATGTAAGTGGATTCGGCAAAATGTAAAAGGAGTCCGCAAATTTAGGTGGAATCCGCAAAAAAAACGCGGATTCCACTAACGAATTGCGGGTTCCTCTTACAGTTGCGGATTCCGCAACAGCTCAATGTAACTATACACATTTCTTATTATTTGTTTGTGGTTTTCACAAAATGTTCTGGATTCCGCAAATTAAATTGCGGATTCCTCAAATTCGCCTATTTTTGGAGCGATTTTGAGCGTTACAATGTTTTAAGTATTTGTTTGTGGAATCCAAAACAGCAAAGAAGATCAGAGAAAAGTAGCAATGTTGCGGATCCCGCGACAAAAAAGATTTTGGCCTGTTGCGGAATCCATTTACAATGCACAGAATGCACAGTTTGCCTTGTACTGGTTAATTGTTTTTTTTTCAGGCCGCCGGTCGAAACATTTTTTCTGGTTTGATTCGCTCGACCATTTGTTTCTTTCTGTCGATTCGCTCGAAACTCAGAATAAACACATCAAATGTGGATGGGAACAAGTGTTCAACAAAAAAAGCGGCAAAGGATAATCTATGCAATAACAAATGTCTGCGTCAGGGGCGGATTTAGGGGGGGGGGGCGGGGGGGCGGACGCACCCCCCTCAGGGATTCGACCACCTGCCGACCCAAAGGGTCCCCCCTTTGGTACTTTTTAAGAAATCAAATTTTTGCCGACCGACCCTAAAATTTTTCTAAAGGCGCCTTGGGCGCCAATATATACTAGCTTTGAGGGGGAGCGCGCGCCAAAAAAACGCGATTTTTTTCGTCAAAATTTTTCAAAAAGTGCCTAAAAACGCCTTTTTTGACCTGTTTTTTCAAAAATTTGCCTGCGGCGCAAAAAATTTGGCCAAAATAGGGACAAAACTGTGCTTTGGGAGAGCTCGAAAAATCAATTTGGTCGACCTAAAAAAAAAAAAAAGGTCGTCAAAATTTTCGAAAATTTTTTGAAAATCCGCCCCCCCCTCGAGAAAATCCTAGATCCGCCCCTGGTCTGCGTAAATTATCAAAAACAAACTTACGCTTTTTCATGCCTACGCATGTATTAAAGAACATCGAAAACTTTATGTCTTCGAAATAAAACAAATTCCCTCGGAAACAGCTGAATTTAGAATATTTGTTTGCTTGGCGTATTGATATTCATCAAATTTTTGAAAATATCATGAAAAATAGTTGATGTGATGGTCGTTTGCTAGAAAGCGGGGTGTTTTCTTTTCCAATCTAGGGAGGTTTTTGCGTGTTGGATCCATATTGTCCTATGAATAATTATCAAATCGGCTATTCCCTTTTTGCCTGTCTATCTGGTGAAGTCCCAGGCCATTGCCCTTTTCTGTTCATACCCTTCAGGCATCTCTATCGGAACTGCGCTCTTCTTTGTGAAGTCCCAGGCCATGGCTCTTTTACCGCCATTGTCGTTGAAACTCTTTTTGGTGAAGTCCCACGCCATTGCACGTTTGTCGTCATTGTTTTTCTTCGTGAAGTCCCAAGCCATTGCACGTTTGTCATCAATGTTTTTCTTCGTGAAATCCCAAGCCATTGCACGTTTATTGTCAAGATTTTTCTTCGTGAAGTCCCAAGCCATCGCACGTTTATCGTCAGTGTTTTTCTTCGTGAAGTCCCAAGCCATTGCACGTTTTTTGTCAAATTTTTTCTTCGTGAAGTCCCATGCCATTGCCCGTTTAGCCTGTAATCAACCAGCATGAACCGAAATGAAAAATTTCGTGTTTTAGAAAGTTAGATTGATCAAGTTAAGTTTAGCCTCACTTGTCGAATGATTTCTCATTATATTGTAATGTGCACTTCAAATGGCAGATGCCTAAGACGACAAAATTTCTCACAATTAAATTGTATTCTTCAAATATTCATTTGTTATTTAATTTCAAATATTTAGAGAAAACGGAGATTATTTCGAAGATACGTTTTAACAAATAGAACGTTGATCTCCATCGAGATTATGAATGCAATACCTGAGGTGTTCTCTTGGTGAAGTCCCATGCCATGGCTCTCTTTTCGTCTGCTGCGGCATAGTAGGGGGGAGGTTGGTGCATGAAACTCCACGAGTTCCGCTTGTCGTCGAGACTTCTCCTCGTGAAGTCCCATGCCATTCCCTTTTTGTCTTCCGAGAGTGGTTGATCGTCGTCCGAAGCGCTACGACGCACGAAGTCCCAAGCCATGCTTCGTTTGTCATCTAAACACGAAGACTCTTTTCAAGCTTCAAAATCGTTTCAAATATAAAGTGCAGTTATGCTGAAACAATCTCGCAGATGAACTAAAAAAAAAGAAAAATATCCTTATTAACTATCCAAAAACACTTATACTAGAAAACAGTTATTGTTGAAAAAAGATCAAAGTTTACCAACCAAACTTTATTGATAACTTTTTGCGATTGCAGAAGAGATGTTAAGATTTTGGTGCATCTCTGTTTCGGCTCTATTACTCGACTTTTAAGTAGAAACTAATTGTTACCTGAGGGTCCCGCCTTTTTGGTGAAGTCCCACGCCATTCCTCGTTTCATCAGAGCCAGACGTTCCCCTGGTTCAACCTCTTCCGAAGTAACCGAAGGGAGGAGCCAGAAGGAACCGGCAACAAACAGACTGGCACAGAGAAATCCCACGTGGAGAATATTATTCATGATTCCTAGTTTAATTCTAAATTGAAAAATATATATTTTTAAGAAATACGATTTCAAGAAAAATGTTTAGCAATCTTCTGATTTAAATCAAGTGGAAACAAACTATTTTTGTGATAATGAATAAGATTTTGATAATTTTGATAACTTTTTAATAATATAAAATCAAATCTAATTAAACTTTGAAGGATAAAATGACTGATGGTGAAAAGAAAATGCAGTTGGCATGCTGGTCGTTAACAAAATATTCTTGCGGTTCTTATTGTTTGTCTCTAACCTTTTAAAATTGGAGATGACTTATAAAGTTTTCTAGGCTCTGTGAAAAACTAAAAATTACCTTGAGCTCGAGTACTAGATCAGTTTATTCAGTCTTAAAGCTAAGGTGAAAGGAAATTTGATGCTTACAGCGATAAGGAGTAAATAAAAGACCCAAGCTGACCAATAAACGTTTATCATACAAATTTCATATCGAAATTTTCCTTGTGACGCATTGTTTTTCAATCTATATGTACAAAAAATATTACAAATCTCTTATATGAAGATTATATGAATAGAACTTTTGCGAATAATTGTCATTTATGAAAAACGTCTTATAAATACTTTTCTTTTTTAAACTTTGATGCTAGGTATACAATTTCCATAGTTCAAAAATGTTAAATAAACGAAATTTCTAATAAATATAAACTTAGATTTTTTCACTTGACAGATCAATTGGATTCAAATAGCAGCAGAAATCAATAAAAAAATTTTTTTTTGCAATTTTGTTCGAAAACTGTTTTTACCATAGATTTACGTATGAAACTGTTTGATAAGCATTTTTCTTATTTGCCACTGAACCCAGCAATTTTGTTGACATTAAACTTGAATCTTTAATTTATGATCTTCAGGCGCCAATTTTTTAATTTTAAGGTGATGAGGACAGTTATATGTGAATTTTCAACACTATTTTGATCGGAAAGAAAGAAAGATATAAAGGGCGTTCTTCCTCTTTCTTTCAAATCACTGTTGTGCTGAAACTGACCTTAAAGCTGTCGTGTTCACAATTTAAACAGCAAAAAAGCCATTGAAGTCTCGTTATTTTAGATGAAAAATCGTCGAGCTTGAATAATTGTCGAGCAACTATTTGGTCATATTTAGTTTTTTTCTCGCTTTTTGAACAAAATCAGTATATTATTTCTTCCAGCTGATACTTTTTGCTCCAAAGCAAACTCGATGCATATTATATAAAGTTGATAATTGAATTCAGCTTATTTTTAGCATTGGGAAGATATCGAGCCCAATGATGAAACAAGAGTAGGACCTTCTGTGGAGGAATGATCCAACTCAGATATCGCTGCAATTGCAAAAAAAGAAAAATCGTTACAAAAGAAAGTTCTTTTGATGGTTCTCGGATAGTGACAGAGGCAGATCTGCTTTTTCTTTTGAAAGGGAGGTGTGTATTTTTCCCCAAAAACTATCGACTGCTTTCCAATTTTTTCTGAGTTGGCTAAAGAACTCAACTACGACAACTAGATTGTTTTCAAGATTTTTAGCTACCATATTTATAGTTAGCTCTCCAAAACTCCGAAAAAGCCCAATTTAGGCAAAAACTTTGAGACGTTTGGAGGAAAGTATGCCAAAATCACCGTTTCAAAAAATTTCATTCAAAATTAGGTTTTTGTTTTGTCCCTCTCTTTATCAATTTCTCGATTATTTTAGCAGCCTTTACAAGATGTAGGGTAATTAACAAAAACTCATCCGCTCTGCAATGAAAAAAGTCTAAAAAAGGAACATATTTGACATTGAAAGAGCAATTTTCAAAATATATATTCAAACTTGAAAGTTACAAATTCAAAAATCTGTTTTAAAACAGTTCTCAAAAATTGTTTTTTTTAAGCCCAACACATGACCCATCATGCAGCTCTACCGGAAAACACGGAGTCATGCTTTGTCTCGATTGCTCTGAATTTTCTGCACATATTAGCTGTGCATGAAATTAAATGAGTTTTCAAAAGAATTTTTGTGTTTAAGCACAATAATTTAAAAGTTTCCGACCACTTTCTTGAGTTATTTTTGCGTCGATCATACTCCAACTACAGAGGAGTTTTGAAGTTCAGAGCGCAATTTTTAATCCAACCATTTGAAAAGTAGGTAGGGATTTAGTATTCGAGTATGTTTTAGTTTTTTGCACGCAAAATCAAACGATCGATATATTCGGTTGCAACGACATTAAAGCAAAGACAAAAAACTCAATCTCGGTGTTGAGAAAAGCCCGTTTGAAGTTTTTGATTATTGGGATAGCTTTGAGCAAACAAGGTGAGCAAGCATGCTCAGGCTTATTTTGTATTTCAAGCAAACAAATTATCAAAAATATTCATTGTAATCGAAAGGAATGATACAAAAAACCAAAAAAAAATTCAGTCTTGATTCGAGCGACGGCAAAAAATTTTGATTGTTGTCTCATGTCGAGAAAAATTGGTTTGAACTTTTTGTGTTTTAATCTAATCGCGAACATTCTTATTATAAAAGTACAATCCAAAAACTTCCAGTTAAAGGATTTTTTGAAAATTGTTCATGCCTTTTTTGAAAATAAAAACTCGAACCAAGGTCTGCAAAAAAATTTCAAAAAATTTTTTTTTGAAATGTGTTCGCATTTTTTCCTGAACACTCTTCGACAAAAACGTTTGCTTGACTCCAGGTTTTTTCGTCGCAACACGAACAAATGACAGCAATAATTTGAAAAGCATGAATTAATTTTTTTTTGTATCTTTTTAAGAATATGATTGTCGTTGGTGTTAATTGTCCACAGGGGCTGCGTCTTTTGGGCTTGGCCCGCGTATAAAACACAATGCTGCTTTAGCTGGCCACAGCCCCAATGGGGTAAACTTGGTCGGGTGGGTTGGCAGTTAAAGAGGTGGAGGTTAGTGTCGGGAGACGAACGGTGGAGACATTTCGTGAGAAATTGGGATTCCATTCTCTTCAGATAAGTATTTAAAAAGGGGAAATAACCGGATCTGAGCGGTGCTAATGTGCTCTATGTTGAATGGGAAAGCAGTTCCTAAGTCGGGGAATTATCAGGCTGGCGCAGCAGGCGAGTTTTGCTAGGGTGTACGTCATTGTCTGAATTTATTTCAGGGTTTGTGTTAATCGTTTTTAAAAATTATTTGAAATTATTACAAACGAGGTTTCTTTGTTCATTATTATCCTTAAACTTGTTAAGCCCACTTCTCTCAGATTTTATTAAGTCAAATTTTTTCAATTGATTTGAATTAGGTTTTTTTTGTCTGGGAGGAGAACAGAATCTATGATAAAAGTGAAGAGGGTTGAAGTGAAAATACGACTTCACAAAAAAATGAGACGATAAAAACTTATGGTGCTGTTGCAGTGATAGAAGTTTGCTTTCGGTGTGTAGGTGATCAATGGAGCCCTCGCTCAGTCACCGCACCTTCAGACGTTCAGTCACCGCACATCTTAGAGCAAATTCTGGAAATTTCTTGGCTCCCTAAACGGAGAAAATGATTTAGCAAAGATTCATCCAATGGCAAAAAAAACTTACAGCCAAAGACATTTCAAATGCTTTTAAAATCCATATTACGCAATTATGAAAACATCAATCAAAAAAGATGCCGAATGAAACTGGATGAAAAATTTAAAAACTCAAGCGAGAAAACCAAGTTAAATTTTATCCAATAGATTTGACAACAGTTATCAAATCCGCTACGCCCTGCAAGGCGCTAGGTCGAGTTGGTTTGTTTACCATAATTTTTAAATATCTAGTGCCAATTGCAATTGATATTCTCACCCATAATTTTAACTTTTCCTCCCCTTACAAGGCAAATCCTCAAGTTTCGAAAATCTACCCAAACCCAACAAACATTTCAAATATCAAAATCTAATCGACCGGAATTGATCCTCAGTCCAGTTTTTGAATTCTAGTCTATCCCAAACCCGCCGCTCATCTACCAGAAGCCCCACTTAACAAAGTGTCAGACGATTCCACTAGAGTCCTGCCTACAAAAAAAATTGTTGTATCCGATTGTTTTAACCAAAAGAACCCCAAAAGGAATAGTACTTGCTGCTCTTGACCTGTCAGAAGCCTTCGATACGCTATGCCACCGTACTTTAGCCAAAACACCGCACAGCTCTAGCGAGCAGTCAGATGGCTCTAAAATTACGTTAGCTGGCGCCAATACCGAAGTAAGGCTTTAATCTTACGCGGTCAATTTTTCTTATTTTGCACAATCAAGTAATATCGTCGAGGCATCTGGCATTTTAATTATCCACATAAGCAAGCTCAATGGCACATCTAGTGTTTTGTTATCGAAAAGATCAGTGAGATTGTTCAGCGCCCACAAAAAAGTTCTCCTCCGTTCTCCTGGTTGAAAAAAAAAGTAGTTGGAGTGACTTTCGACCCGTCCTTCAACTTTGCGGAGCATTGTAAGCAAATCGCTCTGGATGATGTGTGCAGAATGTTGACCCCGGAAGCTCTTTCCGGATGAATTTGGAACAATCCGAAGAAACCTTGTTGTAATGTTCTAATCTTTCAACAGACCAAAACCCAATTACTCCGTGTTGTGACAGGGTGTACGAAGAAGTGCTCCATTGATCACCTACACACTGAATGCAAACTCTTCAAGAATATGGTGCGAGCATTCTATGCTACTTGCAAAGCAACCAGCTATCTTTGTTTATATTGTTTTGATTGCATAATCGCTTCTAATTTAAAGTCATTTTACATTGATTGTTTTATTTAAAAAAATATTTAATTAAGGAAACCAACTTCAAAATTCCATCAGAACATTGCAGGATCTCTTCAACCCTTTCAATACTGCCCCAATTTTTTTTGTTTTCAACTAGTTTGGTGTCGTAATGATCAAAATGATGAAAAAATACTGTGGTATCAGGCAGCGACTGGTTTCACTTAGTTGTTTCTTTTTACGATTCTCAGTTTTTTTTCACGATTTTGTACTCTCAGCCATTTCCATGTTATTCTGAGCGCTGAAGCTTAGACCAATTGTTGTCAATCAGAATAGTTTTCTG